GCAGGGTTCATACTGATGATGACAGAAYGGGGTATGACTTATATAAGTGTAATGATATTATGCTGCCTGAAGCTCTGGATTTTCTCAGTATATGACGAATGTGAGGCATTTAAAAAAATTAGACACTTACTCATTTACATTATTTTACATTATTTTCTAGAAYGTGGATATCTGTGGGCTGTCTGGAAATCCATTAGCAAGAAATGTAAAGATGCTTAAAGGCATTTACCCAGATTAGCTGCGTTTATGCAGTCAAGGGTCTTTTATGTGATTACCTTAAAAGCTAAAGAACTGCTGCAAAACATTTATAGTGCAGAGATCCTGAAGCAAAGACTACACATCTGACAGAAAGCCAGAGCTATTAAAAACAACTGCACAGCTCTGGTTGCTTTGTATTTGCAGACAAACAAGGCAGAAGGTAGAAGGGTTTTCCTTTTGCAGCTGTGAGACCTGGCTATGCAGCTTGGAGCATGAGATTTATGGGGAAGCTTTACATYAACTTTCATTTTCACTCTGATTTCTGCCAGTCAGCAGGAGGGGATGAGCAGGGATGGGCCAGCACTGGCTGTGATGGAGTTTTGTGCCCCTGGGAAGTGGTGTCTGAGTCCTGCCATCAGCTGGGGGTGGCAGACTGGGGAGGTGCCATTGGGACCAGATTGTCTGAGCCACCTTCCTCTGTGGGATATTCCCTAATGCCAGGCACACTCGTGTGGTAGTGCTGCTGCTTCCTCTGCTCTGGCCCTGCCCTTGTCACAGCAGAAGCAGCAGAAGTCCTGGAGCATGTTTACGTGACATACACAAAACCATACAAAATTGTAGAAATCCCTTGTTTTTCATTGTATAAAAATACTTTCAAGTGTGGAAGAAAAAGGAGCAGTGCAAAAGCTACTGCGAGGTTTCTGCCTTCTCTGTCTTTTGTCAAGGATTGCTCTTTCAGCTGTGCATTGAGGCCTCCATCCTCACGGCTTCTTTGTCCTTTAACATAAAAAGTAATTTGTCAGCAAAAGAAGYAAAGTTTTATTTTTCAGTACAGATCTGGCTGTCCTCCCACTGAGACTTTCAACTCTTTATCTCAGGAATGGATGGTCTCGGATTCTGATTCTCTTTCCTTGGTGTTTGTATTGATTTTTTTTTTTCCAGGAGGGTTATTTTCACTGTGGTGTCAAAACTATCTTTCTGTCTCCACTTACAGCAGGTAATAGCTCAGCTTGGCCAATTACATGTTTTCTGGGCTGGCCCCACTCTCCACACACGTTCCCCTGACAATCTGGAGCCTGGATGACCCCGTGTCTTTGTTTTCCCTTTGCTCTTGTCTCTACAGGCTCCCTCTGCAGCTGCAGCAGCAGTCAGAGTGGGTAAGGGCAGCAGCCCCAGGGCTGGATGTGAGCAGCAGAGGTGACAACATGGATATTCCTTTTCCTTCCTGCAGAAACTGGCCTCTGGCTCTTCTTGGTCAGCTGTGCCATCCTGGGGACAGCATCCTTTTGTCCTGGCCCTGGCTTGGCTTTGGGCTCAGAGACCCAGCCCTGCTCATTTGGTGTACCTGAGAGTGAAGAAATACAGTAGTGTCCATTAAAGGCTGCTTTGTTTCTTTCACTTCAGCAATGGCTTTTAGTCATCTGCTGTTGCTAAATCAAAATTAAGGAGATCATTTCCTCAAAACATGATACKTAAAATCTTAATTAAAATACCTCTGGCTCTTCTAATACCAAGATTTTAGAAGTGCTTGGAATAATAGTTCCGATAAATGGAAAAGCWGTGTGCTCTTGACAGACTCTGCTTCTAGTAAAAGATTATCTAACATCAAATCCTCCACAYACTTCCAAAATCCTCTTCCCTGCTTGGCTCCTCAGTGACAGGAAAGTGTTCATGCCTRCGGAGCTTTGTGGTGAATGGAGCTGTCCCAGGGGTGTGGATTGATTTGCTTTGTGACATTGATACCTTCCACTGTCCCAGCAGCAAGATCCAGTGTGTGAATACTGAAAGGAAGCTGCTATGCCTGGAGGCAGGCAAGCGAGATCCTGTATATTACACTGTGAGAGTTGTGTGTCATATTAGAGCAATCTGGCTTTAAAGGGCATCTTTCAAGCACAAACTAGCTTTTTCCCACACTTGACTGATCACACAAATAACTGTGATTAAAGGTCAAGTGCCTGGGTTTTTCTATTTTATTCCTTAAAAATTTATATGCGAAAGAAAACCTAGAAGTTAACATAGCATGAAATTGTTATGCAGTTCTGAGCCTTTAACGACAACTAAATATCACTTTTCTTCCTGGGTGGCTTGAGAAATCTTCAGTAATAACGGGTCACTTCTTTTGGTTTCCACTTGAGGAAGATTATAAATAAATCCTGCCTTTTGCTTCCCTGCCCTGTAACATGATGGAGGAAGGGTTTTGATTGTATGAACTTGTGCCCCCAGTCAGCAGGGCTGTTCCTGGTCTCACCAGGAGCTCCTGGGTGGCAGGTGCATGGCAGGAGGGCCARCTGGGTCACACAAAGCACTGATCCATGCTGGGCTCTCCTGCATGGGAAAAGCATCGATAAATGGATGGGAACTTCCTCACCATTAAAGCTAAGACCAAGAGAAAAGGTAATGACCATATTTGAAAAGAGCTGAGAAAAGAAGAGAGAGCTGGAAACATCCTCTGGCTCCAAGTGTCCAGCTGGGCTTGGCCTATGCTGGGCATTGGGTACCAATAGCCCGGGCTGGGCTGTGCTACGTGAAGGCGCAATATTTTTACTTCAGACCTGCAAAATTTTGCATTTGACACATAATCACAGCAAAGGGAACATCTCACAGGAACAAATGTTTCCTTTGGTGTCRTGGTATCTGCCATCAGGTGGGAAACTGGTGGGTGTTCAGGCTGACTAAACTTTGCAGGGACCTGCAACAGCTACAATTAATAATAATCAAACCTTGCTGAGTTCTTCCCGTGACACAAGAGGCTATGGGCCTGGTGGCACATAAACTCAGCTTCAGTGAACCAAGAACCATACAGCTTCTGGGTGCTGTACCTGCTGCCACAGCACTGTCCTGGGTGTGGATCTGGCAGGACTCACCCTACCCAGGGCTGCCTTTTCCTGGTCATTTTTGCTTGCACAGTAGTTGTTGGGCTTGCTGGACCTTGAGATGAAGATGGAAATAAAATTTCAACCCAGAAAGGCAGGACATATAAGGCTCGACAAAACTGATATTCCTGGGCACGGCTTGCAGACCAGGGCAGGGGCTACCCCAACACCCTTGCTCGCTCTCAGCAGCAGGGAGCAAACATCATCTGAGGATGGGGGCGGCACAGCACTGCTGGTTACGGCCGCAGCATCTCGGACTGCCCGTGTCCCAGCGGTGCTTTGGTTTCCATGGAGAGGGCATCCCCTGCCCTGAGCACAGCTCCCACAGCCCGGTCCCTCAGCGGCCAGCGCCGAGGCTGAGCGCGGGCCCTCACCGGCCCGGGGGCTGCCCTCAGCCGGCTCCACAGCGAGGGACATCCTCAGCCGCCGGCTCCACAGCGAGGGCCACCCTCGCCGGCCCGGGGTCGCCCTCAGCCGGCTCCACAGTGAGGGGCCACCCTCAGCCGCCGGCTCCACAGTGAGGAGTCGCCCTCAGCCAGCTCCAGGCGAGGGGCCACCCTCACCGGCCCGGGGTCGCTCTCAGCCGGCTCCAGGACGAGAGGACGCCCTCAGCCGGCTCCACAGTGAGGGGTCGCCCTCAGCCAGCTCCAGGACGAGGGGCGACCCTCAGCCGGCGGCTCCACAGTGAGGGGCCGCCCTCAGCCGGCTCCACAGTGAACGCCCACCGCCCCTGGCTCCGTCCCCCCGCTCCCCGCCCCTGCCGCCCATTGGCCGCGCGGTTGGCGCGCCTGGCCGGGGCGGGGCGCGGAGCGGGAGCGCGGCGGCGGCGCGGGGCGCGGAGTCGGGGCGCCATGGAGACGGCCCTGCCGCTGCTGCTGCTGCTGCCGGTGCTGCCCCGCGCCGCCGCCGAGCAGGGTGAGCCGGGCGGGGCGGCGGCGGCTCCCGCTGCTCCGGCGCTCCCGCGTCCCCGGTCGCGCCGTATCCCCGGTGCTCTGGCACCTCCGTGTCCCCCTGCCCAGCTGCGCGGTGTCGCCGCATCGGTCCCGACGCTGGTTGCCCTCGGCGGGTCGGGCTGCGCGTTGCGATAGCGGGAGCGGCCGTCTCGTCTCGGCTCGGCGGTGGGGCCGCTCCGGGGCTGGCCGGACGATTGTGGGGCGCAGAAAGCTGCGGGTGAAGCGAGAGAGGACGGACGAGTCCCCGTGGAGTGACCGGGTCAGCTCGGGGTGTCCCGATCCCCGCGATCACCCGAGGCACTAGGCGCGCTGCCGGTACCGTGACAGGGAGACGGTTCGCGCCCTGGCTGCGCTGTCACAGACGGAGCCTGTGGTCTCGGAGGCGAGAAGAGTGTCTSGGAGCATCCCGGAGCGCTCCGAGCGGAACGGTCGGCAGGGATGTGCCCGCCGGGGATGCGCCGCCGCGCCCCTTGTTACCGGGCTCTGAGCTCCAGACCAGGCTCAACCTGCCGGTCTGGGGCTGTGGCTGTTTGCTGCTTGTGGAAAGATCGTGAAGCTGTGAACTGAGGGAGATAGCTCTTCCCGTCAAAGATGGAATTGTCCGTTTTGTGGGAAAAGGGTGTCGTCTGCCAGCGAAATCCCTCTGTCAAAGCAGCTGCTGGTACCTTTCAGTTCCAGCATCCACACGCTATGGGCATGATACAATGGMAGTGTTGTTTGTGGTGTCAGAGGGATCGTCCCTGGGAAGGCACACTCGTTTGGGCACTGATCAGGCACCAGCGAGATTGTTCTGGGTGTGCAGTGAGGGCTTTGCGGTGCTGCCATGGCTGGTGGAGCCAGGGTGGGAGCTGTTCCCGTGCCCTGGGACCTGGCACAGCATGGCACTAAGCTTATCAGTGGATGGACTGGGTGGGTTTTACAAGCATTTCTGTGTCAGTGGTTTTGCTAACATGCTGTCTTCTCTGCAGTTGTCCTGCTGGACTCAAAGGAGTCACAGGCGGAGCTGGGCTGGACCTCGCACCCATCRAACGGGGTAAGCATGGAGGTGGGACTGTCCCTCTGTACCACTGGAAAGGGTGAAAGCATCTGTCAGCTTCTTGGTGCTCAGCAGCATTTCAAGTCCCGTGGTTTGAGCACTTTGCTTGCCACAGAGCTGGGGTAGGGGCTAGCAGCCACCGGGACTCCTCATTCAGGGTCGATGGGCAGCTTTGCACGATCAGTGCCAGGAGMCCCTGGAAGCAGAGCAAGGAGTGAGGCATTGGCTATGGAAGCACTGCAACTGGCATGGAGTCCCTCCTCAAAATGGATTTTACACTACTAAAACAAGCAAATAAACGCTGGCTAGTTAAGGCTTTGTGTTGTGGTTTTCACACCAGCATGAGCACCAAGGGTCAGTCCAGCCCTTAGAATCTGAGGGCTGTGGCTGGGGAAGTCATGGGGAGCTGTAGCGTTTGTTTGGTCAGTTTGGTGTTGGTCTAAAGTCGCTTTCAGGAGACTGTGTCAGGAAGCTTAGAGTTGTGTTCCTTGCAGCTTTGGTTTCATTTTCCCAAATGGAAACAAAACATTCAGAGGGAAGAGCAATAGATCTGGAGTAGTCTGTGTAGCACAGCTGTTTGTTTGCAGAAGAAACTCTGTTTTGGGTWTCTTTTGACTATTTTGCATAAATTTACCCCAGAAAGAATTGCTTTGGGAAACTGCCAGGTCGTCATTCAGGCTGCAAGGGTTGAATCATCATTTCACTGATCAGAATCTCTGCCGATAGCTTTGGGGAAACACCGTTTCACTTGCAGTCAGAGGATTTGTCCTGTTGCAGCTAAAACTTCTGTCAGACAAGCTGCTGCTGTTGTTCATGAAGGCGTTTGACATCCTTGTGTGATGGTGTGACTGGTGTCACATCTTCCTGGACATCTTGGATTTCTCTGGGTGGCTCAACCCTATCCAGCGTCACACTGTGTGGATGCACCTTCCCAGGGACAGCAAATCCAAGGAGTGTGTGGGAGATGAACGCTCTGGCTCCTCAGCRCATGATGTGATGAGAATCAGGCTTTGTTTTCCAAGATCTGCTGCCAGTGCTGCCTTTCTGGTTGTGTCTTTGTTTGCAGCTCTGCAGAGAGCTGAGGTGTTAGCTGGCCCAGGAKCAGGGTTACTGCAGCTGGTGGGTTTGGTGGGCTGAGGACTTCCAGTGCCTGTGGAAGGGAGGGGAGGCTTGTGATGGCACATTTATACTGGTTGGTGTGTCTCTGCTGGGGCAGCTCCTAAGCTGTTACAGCTCTTTGTGTTCTCTCCCCAGTGGGAAGAGATCAGTGGCGTGGATGAAACCTACAGACCGATACGCACGTACCAGGTGTGCAACGTGATGGAGCCAAACCAGAACAACTGGCTGCAGACGGGCTGGATTGCCAGGCGTGACGGCCAGAGGATCTTCATCGAGCTGAAGTTCACCCTGCGGGACTGCAACAGCATCCCTGGCGTGACAAGCACCTGCAAGGAGACTTTTAACTTGTACTATGTCGAGTCTGACTCTGACCTGGGCCGCAGTGTCCGCGAGAGCAAGCACACCAAGATTGACACCATCGCTGCTGACGAGAGCTTCACACAGGGGGACCTGGGCGAGCGCAAGATGAAGCTGAACACTGAGCTGAGGGAGATTGGGCACCTGAGCAAGAGAGGCTTCCACCTGGGTTTCCAGGACSTGGGTGCCTGTGTGGCGCTGGTCTCCGTGCGGGTCTATTACAAGAAGTGTCTCAGCACCGTGCAAAACTTGGCCGTGTTCCCGGACACAGTGGCGGAGACGGCCTTTGCGACGTTGGTGGAAGTTAAGGGCACTTGTGTCGCTCATGCTGAAGTGGATGTGGATAATCCCCCACGGATGCACTGCAGCGCGGAGGGCGAGTGGCTGGTTCCCATAGGGAAATGCATGTGTGGCCCTGGCTTTGAGGAGAAGGACGGGGGATGCAGAGGTAAAAGTGCCCATTGGTGTCCTGTCAGTTCATGCTGCTGCCACACCTCTCTGGTGCCTGAGCACARTTTGGACAARCAGAATTGTCTTTTGTCAGCAATACRTTTCTTTAGGTGATGGCAGCTCCCCAGCGAACCACCAATCCATTGTTTGGAGGGGGGCAGTTGGAGGGYGTGGGGCTGCTCTGCAGCATGGTGCTGGTTGGGCAGATGTGTCAGAGCWCTGGATGCTGTCAGGCATTGCCCACAGCTTTATCTGTAATGTTAAAATTACTCTAGAACATTAATATCCCTGTTGATATGCTTTGGACACAGTTTAATAATTCGGTGACTTTACAGCTTACAAGGTTAGTTTAAAGACAGCTGCAAAAATGGTCATACTGTCTGCCTTAACAGGCATCCCACTAATGAACCAGGGGCTGTGAGCACTTGCATCTTTTCCTAAGGCAGGTGAGAGACAAGTGTGGCATGCTGGCTGTCATGCTCTTTCTCAGAGTGTGTGAGCATCTGAACAGAGAGAGTTGCTGGGCTTGTGCCACCCCCTAGCACCTTCTTGCCAGCTGGGACCTGGGAGAGGRGATGTGTTCTTCAGTAAAACACATCTGAAAAGACCCTTCGCTACCCATGCAGGTGATACCTTGGATCTGTCCCTTTTTATCTCAAAAACAGATTGAGAGGAAGGCTGAATAAGTCCCAGACAGGCAGAGTTCCTCCATGCTGGAGGCAGGTGGTGCAGCAGCAGAGTGAGCTTTTCCCGTGGAATYGGATCTGCCCTTCAGGAGCACCTCGAGGCTTTTCAGTTTTACKCTGTGCTGATGGTGCCGCCTTCCTCCCGGTGGTAGGACGCCCTTCCCGGTACTCTGGGCAGTGGCTTCTCCTTAAGAAGACCTTATTAAAGCTATCGAATTGAAATCTCAGTGCTGTTGATTGCTTCAGTGGCTGCATGGCAGCTTGCCATGCTTTCCACATCTGTTTRGAGTGGGGATTTACATAGTGAGTCCCAGAAGGCTTTTGCTAATGTTTCAGGTTTCTCTGTGTTGAGTTTAAATAATTCATATTCTCTGAGGAAAAATATTTGAAGTAATTTAATGGACATAATTAAGTTTTTCTCCCCTCTCACAGAAAGCAGGTCATTAGTCACTCTCTGTGGAGCAGYGTCTGATGTCTGGTCAAATATCAGGAAATAGTTTTTAAGGGTTGAAAGTTTTGGGTTTGTTTGCAGCCCKACATTAGCATAGTGCTAAGTGAATAGCTTTAAAAAATTTCTGATGAAAGCAGCCAGGGCTGTGGAAATTCTTTGATGAGGACAAAAGCCCTTGAGCTGGAKGCAGGTGTACAACATGTTAAGTTCAGTCAGGTGATGGCACAATACACCTAGCTCCACACTGTGATCCTGTGGCAGCCCTTTGGAGGACTCAGTGAGTCTGCTGGATGCTGCTGGCCCATGAAACTTCTTGGCCAGTCTCTGTTGCAGCTCCTGTGGCCCTGAGAGGTCCAGGTGGTGGTCTGGGGTGGTGGGGGCTTTGCTGCTGCTGGTGCCTGTGGGGTGGCATGAGTGCCAGGTCACCTTGTGGGTGGAGGTGKCAGCGGGACTGTGGCACTGGTGACAGCTGTGGCACAGCTGGAGGATGCAGGAGATGAACTGGTGAAGGTTTTTGAACGTGRTGGCAGAGCTGGTGTCCCTGTAACCTTGATTTTAAGTGTTGAAAGCATCCTGCACCAAGGGAAGGTTTGTGTTCCCACTCTGAAATTARGAGAGATGAAAAAAGACCAATAGGACTTACAACTCTGCAAACTYCTGCTGCAGGAAAGCTGAGTCTTTGTATGACCATCCTCCTGTCCTGCACCACTGCTCCAGAGGGACTCCAGCACTTGTGACAAGTTTGCACATTTCTGATGAATCATTTTGGCATTAGGTGGAGTGCAGCCATCTCTGGGGTGGGACTGCACAATTTTAGTGTCTGTTTAACATCCACTCAGGAAGAAGAGGAGAGTTTGTCACYGAAAATGCGTTCAGACTGCTTGTCTTGTCTGATGTATCTCTATAGCCATATGCTGCTCTGTGCATAAAACTCTGACCATAAAACCCATTCCCAGAAGATGCACGGCAGGCAAGTGGGCAGTCCTGTGCTCTGCAGATGATCCCCTGCCCATCCCTGTTTTGTTTTCGCTTGTCTTCTCAGCTCTGATGTCTTTTTTACCATTAATTTTGCCAGGCATGAGCTGTAGCCCCTTTGTGCCATTTGTTTTGTGATGTGTAGCAATAGCTTTTGTGTAAATGAAGTTGTGATGTGGGGGATCCACCCAGCATTTTCCTGTAAAGTTGTCTCCTGTTTCATCTCYTCTATCCAATTCCCAGTAATATCTGCAAGGAGAATTTCAACAAAGCCCAAGGTTAATATTAACCAGCCAGATTTGCTGCAAATGAGACAACTTCAACCAGACATTGAATTAATATGATGGAAACCAGTTACCAAAAATAGCTGCCAGCCACTCTTCTTTGACAGAAACGTAAATTTGTGCTCTGGCAAAGTTTCCTCCTCGATTTATTTCCCTCCACTTCTGACAGCAGTGGCAGGAGCCAGCTCTGCACTGCTGCTGTGCCCCATGCTCTGCTCCCTGTCACCAGCACCKGGAGCCCTGCTCAGTCTGGTCAATGATGGCCTCATTAGTGACTGTGTCCCTTGTCCACATGGCAATGACGTCACTGAAAACAGTTTTAGAGTTGAAATAGTTTCTAGTGCTTTGTTAGGATTTTTATACAACCTTTTAAAGAGATGAGTGTTGCCACTTTCCTGGGGAGGAAAACCTCACACTGGAGGTGTCTTCAGTGTCAGGATGCTTGTGGCAGCACAGGGAGCAGCTGCTGGTGTTCATGGTTGCTGTTTGAAATGGGGAATAACAGAAATCCCCCCCTCCTTTTCTGCATCATTGAATGGATTTTTGAGCAGCATATTGAATTCAACCTGCTAGGAACAAGACACAAGAAAGATTTATTTTATCTTTCTTAAGGAGAAAGCAAAGGTTTAGGGTGGGAGTGGGATGTGGGGTGAGTAAGATGCTCTGCTGTCCATTGGATATGTCCCACCACAGCTTTGTGTCACTGTSGTGTCCTTAGGTGGAAAAGAAATAGTTCAATAGAAAGTTAGAGAAATTTAAAATAAGCAATTACAGTATTTTGTCATTTAGTGCAAAGATACCTCCTGAAGCCCGAGGTCTGCTTTTCTGTTTAAATACAAAATAGATGGATCCAAATGTACAGCGCTTGGAGCTTTTGATTTGTTTCATCTTTTATACATTAGCTTACAAACCTGTATGTGCTCCTGGAGTGTATTTTATCTGCTGACTGATGCTGGAGGATTATGCATAAGTTTATCTTTCCTCCTGGGACTCTGTAAGTTGCACAAAGCACCAGGTTTTACTTTCATCASGGCTGCAGCCACAGGCATGCCCCTGCTTGGTAGGGCTGGAGCTGTGAGYGCTGGGTGGTGGGTGCTGCTTTCCATCACCCGTGGAACACCCGTGTTAAATGAGCTCTCTCTTCAGTCTCTCTGGAGTAATGACCAGGCTTGGAGGTGTTTATCAYTGGGGATTGCATGTTACATTGCTGGTTCACAGTGTGTCTGAGATAATTACGGCAATGGAAGTTGTGACAGATGCAGACACAAATCGCTCCGTGACATTTCATTTCAGAGCAAACTGCTCTGACAATTACAAGCATCACAGGTTGTTTGCAGAATTCCTGTCAGGTTAAGGTCATGGATATCTGYCTGCTGGATGAATGTGTTGAATAGACTGTTGAAATACAGAGGGGACATGTTTTGCCCACAGCTGAGGGTGTCTGTGTGAGCTGAAGTGCTTGGCAGGCGTGGGGTGCACTGGACAGTCCGGTCAACCAGTCCTTCACCAAGAACAGTTTGGTGGATCCATTAGGGAGCTGAGAGAGACAACAGTAAATTGCAGTTGGCTCAGTGGATGTGCCTGCTTCAGTGTGTCCTTGAGGAACATTCTGGCATAAATAGCAAGGAGGTTCTGTCAGTCCTGGCTGGATTCAGCAAATGCACTCTGTTAGATATATCAAGACTGTCTTTCTTCTGGRCTAAATCACTGAATTTAATTTCAGCTGTTAAGAGCTCATCGYTGGGGATGCACAAGGATCTTGCCCTTGGACACAGGTTTTCATTTTAGTACTCCTCAAATTATTTAACAAGGACAAAAATTACAGAGTAGCATTGTCTAAAGGTGTCGGAATTGCTGGGAATGTGTTGGACCATAGGCTGCTTGTTGAAAACCAGTTATTAAAATCCTCCAAACTGTGTGGGTGCTTTTGGATCCTCTCAAGTAGTGCAGCCCAGAGTTCCCATCCTGGCAGACATGGAACCRAGGTGAGGAGCTGGAGAGCCCACTCAGTGCTTGCATTGATCTCTCCTCATGCTGACTTTGTCCCTCTCACAGCAGCACAGAGATTGGACACGAYTGCTGTCCCTTCTCTCTGCCTGCAGTATTGATTACAGCCGTGTGGTGTGACAAGGTGAGATCGCAAACTCAGCGTGGAGGAGGCAGGAGCCTCTGTGTTACCCRAGGATATTTGTTGACAAGGCTTTTTGGCTGCCTCAGTACCACTGAAACTTTATTCTGTCAGTGATTTACACAAGGTGCCCTGTCTGCTTTGGGCAGCGTGTCCTCGTCCATGGGCAGTGGCTGGCAGTGTCTGTCCCTCCTTGGGGCTGCTGCCCCTCCCCACACTGCCCTGAGGCACCGATGGAATGTTTGAAACATAATAAACAGTGACTTGCTTGGCTTGATAATGGAATTAAGATAGATGGAGTTTGCCAAGCCTTGTCCAGCGAGGGGTCAGCAGGAGCAGGAGCTCCTGGGAAAGATGCTGGTGTGACAGTGGTGAGATTGCAGGTTTGAGTGTTGCTCAGGGAGGGCTGGATGCAAGTCTGAGAGCTCAAGGGGCCAGTGCTCCCAGTCTGCCCTGTGCTGGGAGGGATTTTCAGGCTGCTGGGGTGCCTCAACCCGTGGTGCTGTCCTGGTCCTTGCTGTGGCACCCGCAGTGCCAGCTGCATATTTCCCCAGCTGTGGCTTTCCTGARGAACATTTTTATAAATGCCTGCCTCAGCAGAGGAAATTAACACACATTAAAGCAGATGAACTTTGTCAAATACAATTCCATGACCAAAACTGGAAAGGAATTGATTTTGGAAGACAACCGAGTTGTASTGTTAATTATAAATGCCTGTATAGGCGTTTTGAGTGAGGCTGCAGCTGTTATTGATTCACGCTGGCACACATGGTGCTGCTGCTGGTAGGACTTCACTAGAAAGGGAAAATGAAAGCTGTCCCGTGTCGCTGGAGTAGGGAACCATGCTTTTTCTAGCTCTGCATCCTCAATTGCCCCTACTTTCCCTATGGCACAGGCTGGGAATGAGAGAGGACGTTGCTGTCTCTCAACAGAGACACCCGCTCCTGTCTGAGGAGCTGTTTCAGATGGGGAGGTAAGAGTGGCCTTTYCCTTGGTTACTCCATGCTGGGTAATTGGCCAACCTGCAGCATAAATCAGTGTAGCTCGTTCTGCTGCTGGTTTGACAGTATGCAGACCATTACACTGAGTGGGGAATGTGCTCTCTCTGTCAGTGATGTGGATCAGGCATGCTTGAGGAGCTTTTGTGGTGGAGCTGGAGAGAGGCAGATCCATCYGACCCATCTGGCTGCTTCTCTTTGGTTCTGGGACAATGAATTACTGGATTTCATTGTTTAATAATTTAGTTGTGGTAGTACCAGGGGACAAGGTACAGGATAGAAAGTAGTGTACAAAAAAGGATTTCATTCTATAAATTGATGACCTGATCTCCCGAGAGCTGTTATGTGCTCACTGCAGAAATAAGCACTGTGAAATGACAGGGACACCTAAACCAGCTGGAGACCAAGAAAAACACTCGTAGGATGAGGTGGATGAGGGTGGGAGTTTGTCTGAAAAAAGAAACAGAGACACACACATGATGCATCACATGTGCTGGRCACTTTTGTTCTTCTCAAGGGCAAGTTTCGGACAGCCAAGGAAAAAAAAATAGCAAGTGAAGCCCATGGCTTCTCGTGGAACACACTCACATGGRGTTGTGGTGCCTGCTCCTGGGACATGCAAATTGGGGCATTTTGTGCCATTGTTAATGACACACACTTCTGTAAACTTACTTCTGGCTCTTAGAAAACAGGGAGGAATAGTCTGAGAGACACTTCTAATTGGAAATGTTCAGTTTGCTACGATGAGATGTCAGATTGGTGTGACAGGCACGTCTGAGGGGTGGGGGCTCTGGGCTTAGTTCTTGGATCCCATCATGTTTGTAAACAGGATTGATCTTCCTGTCCTGCCTGATGCAGTGATATTCCTGCCCTGTATYGTGGTCAGTGCTGCCTAACTAAAGAAAAAAGCAAAGTCTGTCACCATTCTATGAATATACCACTGGTTTTGGTTTGGTTTCTCAAATCTAAAGAGGGAACTGGAAGTTTTGGGAGTAATTTTAGCATTTGCTATTTTTTTCCTGGATTATGTAGCACTCTAGATGGGGAATGACATTTAATATGAACGTCAGYGCAGAGCCACAGCACCCAAATATCTCTTCTGGGTAAAACCAAGGGACATCTCTCTTGGTGCCAGGATCATGCAGGTGCTCAGGGAAAGCAGCTTAGAGGGTGGTGTCTGCTGGCTGGTGGCAGCAAAGGATGTCCCAGGAAACAAGGAAATGCAGTCATTAGACATGTTYCCATTCATCCTATGCTGCTCTTCCCATAACACCCTCTCTCTCTTTCAGCTTGTCTTCCGGGGTTTTACAAGCTCTCCCTCCGTCTCCCTGTCTGCTCTCCATGCCCTGAGCACAGCTTCACACATGAGGAAGCCTCCACRTTCTGTTTGTGCCAGAAGAATTACTCCAGGTCTCCTTCAGACCCACCATCTGCCTCCTGCACACGTACGTCTGGCTGGAACGGCAGCTCTTTGTGGCGAGGGAGCCGTGTCCAGGCGCTCTGTCTGTCCTGCAGCACGGAGCTGGGTGATGCCAGGGCTGTCCCCGGCTCCCCCTGGGTGCTCACCCATGGGAACGTGTCCCCGAGGGTCCCATCTGTGCTGGGGTGACACTGCAGTGGGGAGAAGGGGGATGGAGGGGCTGTCCCTACAACCCAGAGCTCGGCTGTTGAGACAGACACGCAGTCAGGCTCGCAGACTCCCCGGTAAAACCGAGGGACACACTCACTATAGTTCACAGATTTTAATTAAATGGCCTCTAGTTAATTGGACTGGACTCCAGCTGCTCTGGTGATGGATGCTGTGCAGCTGCCAKCACGGTGATGAGGAACCCTCCATCTTTGCTGAGTGGAGTGTCCAGCGGCTGGGCAGTGTCCACCCGGCAGTGAGTTCCCAAAGTCTGGTGATGCTCAGGGAGGTGCTGGGTCCAGCAGGGTGCTCCTTACACAGTGTGAGCTCGTGGTGCACGGACATCCCTCCAGCTGGGATCCTCTGTCCCACATCTCACTATGCCTCGTGTCCCCTCGTGTCCCCTTGTGCTGTGGCTGTCCAGAACCGTGGACAGTCGCTCCACCCCCTGCKCTCTACCCCCTATTTGCCCCAATTTGCACTGTCCTATTGCTCCCAGGGGACCTTTATCTCCCAGACACTGTTCTGCCCGCAGGTCCACCCTCCGCCCCGCGGAACCTGGTGTACAGCCTGCGRCAGTCATCGCTGGTGCTGCAGTGGAGTGCCCCGGCGGACGCGGGCGGCCGCAGCGATGTGACCTACAGCCTTTGGTGCGGCCGCTGCCCGCCGGCGCTGCGGGGCCGCTGCGAGCAGTGCGGCAGCGGCGTGGGCTTTGTGCCGCAGCAGACCGGGCTGGTGGAGCGCACCGTCACCCTGGTCAACCTGCTGCCCCACGCCAACTACACCATCCGTGTGGCTGCTCTGAACGGTGTGTCGGCCGTCAGCCCGCTGTCGGGCCAGCAGTACGCCGAGGTCAACGTGTCCACCGGCCGGGCAGGTACGGTAGGGATCGCTGCTTCGCCCTCTGGCACCGAGGGGGTGGTTGTAGGGGCTGTCTTGCTCTGGCAGGGCARCTCTGGGCTGTAGGGAGCTCCTCTGCGGGCAGCTTGGTGGCTTTGCTGCTGTGGTCACTGCGCTTGGGCTGTGCATGCTTGTGTCGTGGTAGTGCCCCGACGGTGCTTGGTTTGTCCCCGTGCCTCAGCCGTGGTGCTTTAGATAGTGCCACCTACCCCGTGGCAGAGGGGTAGGTGAAGACTGCTTGGTTCCAGTTGGTGCCATTGGGAGGCAAGGAGTGAGCGTGGTGAAAAGTCTGGGCTGTGAAGGGCCAAGTCTGCTCAGTGATCTGGCTGCAGTCTGAATTTACAAATCACAAAAAAAATAGCTTTGATGAAACAATATTTTCAGCCATTCATACCCCCCCCCCCTTTAAAATAGATAATTCAAATGTTGGCTATCCTTCAGAAATAAAAAAAAAATTGATTTTCTCTCTCTATCCTGTGCTATTCTGCGACACAATTTCTTACTGTAATTGTCCCCTTCCATTTCCAGTTTGGCATTTCTGTTCCCTCAGGTAGGGGTAGGTGAGTGCCTGTGCCTGTGGAYGGGTCCCTGAGCAGAGGGGTCTGTCCTTCCTCAGTTGTTGGCTGTGCCAAAGGACAATCAGATCCTTCTCTGCTGTTGGAGRGATGCTATGCTGAAGGACAGTCGGCTCTGGCTTGTTGTGTCCTTGTCYGTTCCTCTGTGGTTACGTTATTAATTTGCATGAAAACCCTTTCCCAAGCCACGGTTAATGGAGACAGATGATCCTCACGTACTTCTTGGCAGGAATTGGCCAACAATTTCATCTGAAGAGATTAAACTTTGATCTTGTTATAAATAATTTTCCCACCACTTGATCAAATGTTTTTGTGCGCGTTGTTGCTTTCTCTTCCCTCGTGCCATAATCCCCGTGGCTCCGTTGGGGGATGCTGTGCTGCAGACTGCTCCTCAGCGGAGGTGTCATTCCTCATTAAGATCTTTGCTGTTCAAGGATGGATTTAGCTCTGGGAAGATCTCCTGCCTCCTGAGCCCAGGCCAGGGGAACAGCGAACAGGCTGGGGAGGGGTGAGTTTAGAGCAGTGTAATAATGAGCCATTCCTTCAGTCTGGTGCAGGTAGAGGGTCTGGTGCTCTGGAGTCGCCTCCCTACCTGAGACCTCAGGTCTGAGTGGGGCACAGGATGCCAGGTGTGGCACTGAGTGCCTTGTTCTCTTAGTAAGCAAAGCAAGTTGGTGATGCCAGCCCATGCCTTGGCTGCTCAGAGCAGCTTTTCCCCTGGGGAAGGGGGAATCTCAGCCCCTTGTTTGACATTTTGTACTCCTGAGGGAGCTGAAATGCACATAAAGAATGTGGATAATTAATCCTGTAATCTGTTCAAAATCAATGTCTCTTGTTGAGCTGTCAAGTGTCTGGATGCAGATGGTGGCTCGGAATTACCTGAGCAGCTGAGGCTCAGAAGTTTCTTGGAACGCTGACAGTTTTTATTGCTGAAGGTGTTCCCTTCAGGCAGTGCCAGGCTGGGGCTGCCCTGTTTKCAGGCACCCAGTGCCCTGTTCCTCTTGCCTTTGYRCTGCTGGCAYGGAGTGACAGTGATGGTWAACCTGTGCCCATCRGCAAAGAAGGGGAGAAGGYRGGAKAAGGTTTTCTCCTWGGGAGGTGGCTGCACAGCTGAGTTCTGTGACACCCCAGTGYGAGGAGGGGACGCTGTGTGCTCCAAACCCGGAGCCATGGCTGCAGGGACAGCATGTGGAGCTGCTCCTCAGGGCARTCAYCTCTTGGAATCCTGACTCTGCAGCCTCTCTCACTAGAGCCCACCACAGAAGTGCTGGATGGRGCCAGAGGTCAGGAGGGAGGAGACTCCAGGGATGTCTGAGCAGTGGTGACTCCCGTGCTGGCGGTCATGCCGTGGTCTCGGAAGTAGTTTGCAGCAGCAAGGGAGCTCTGGCTGCTGATATGAAGTTCAGATGCAAAATTAAACAAGAAATAAGACCCCAATTAGCTGTCAGATCCTGCTCCTCTAATCCAGCTCCGAGTGCAGCTCCATGCTGCCCTTCCCCTCCATCACTCACCAGAGGGAATTGTCCATCGTTCCCTGTATTTGCAGGAAAAAGAAGAGATGCAATTTAGTCTGCAGGTGGCAAAATTAATACTGYGTTTTTTCTAATCTGTCCCCAGCATGGGACTAAATAGAAGTGTTTGAGGAGCGAATGGAGCTGTTCACCTGCAGGAGTGGAGCTGCATTAGCCATGTAAATGTGYGCTCCGGGCCCACGTCATTTGTATTCCCGGCAGGAATACAAGGCTCCTGCCTTAAAGAGCTTTTAAATCTGCTGCTGATTAATAATGCAGCCAGTGCCAGAATGCATCCTCCTTCCTGAGGCTGGAGAAGGGGTTTGAGTTGGGTTTGGTCCTCCAAAACAGATTTGTGTTTTTCCTCTGTGTGCCCAGGGCTGGTGCAGTGACCATGGAGCAGTGGGGCCACAGGATGAGCCAGCTCTGGGGCAAATGTTTGCACTCCTGGGGTCTTTGCCCTGAAAGGACTGCCTGCTGAGTGGTGAGGGGGCTTCTCTGCTTTGGAATGGAGATCTGTGAGGCAGGAGCTGCCTGGAATGGTACCCAGGGCATGTTCTGTGTTGGGATGTTGGTGCCTGGTGAGGGAGGAGAGAGGTGGCTCTATCTGGCACAAGCAGGGCAGGCTGCAGGGGTGTTTGGTGTCCCTCCCTGAGTGCAGGTGTTGGAGGCAAAGAATCGTTCCAGGAGGGACATGGTGCCACATCGAGTTTTATGCCTGTTSTGCTGCTACACTGGTTAATCAAGAGGAGAAAACCCACGTACAGGGGAATGGAGTTTATAAAATCAGGCAGAGTGGTGAATAATTTAATGTTTGCTTTTGCGAATAGACGCAATGTTAGGAGAGCTTAAAATATTGATGGGAAACACATTTTTTTTCACAGTGTGAAATGCTTTATAGCCCGTGTGATTTTCTTTAATGTTTTTTAAACATGTTTGAGGCTGGGACCTACTTTTCTGTCACGTACCATGGGCTCTGCTCTAAAGCCCATCCCTGAGTGAGTAGGATTTTTCCTGGTGACTTTGTTAACAGTCAGGACCACACAGTCAGGTGCCTCCCATCCATTTGCTGGATCCAGAGATACAGGAGGGCAGCTGTGTGRTATTTTATTGATGGGAATCATATAACACAGCAAGGAGCACTTAGCTTAGCTTACAGGAGCAGGACCCAGGGCAAGTGTTGGGGCAATCTTCACYGCAGGCAGGTGCTGCCAGCACTGGCCCTTTGCTGCCACACAGAGCATTACTGATCTTCCTGCYGTGCTTTGTGCTGGGGCTGAGCTCACTTCTGCTCCTTTCAGGGGRACAGTTTGATATCTGCTTAAAGGCCATCCCTGGGGCCAGTGAATTTGCTGGGGAATAATGTTTGACCATGTCCCACACCATGGGGTGGGTCACAACACAGGGAGCTGTGTATGGGCACTGAGCTAAAGGAGCCCCTTTGACTCCTCTCACACTCTCATTGGAAACCAAAGGGGACTTGGAATCAAGTATATCATGRATAAAACATGAGGGCTTTTTATTTCAGCAAAGATTAATGAGCTAAGTAATAAATACAAAATTTCACAGATACTTAAGTTTACTTTTTAGGGACTTGTTTCTCTCCATAGGAGTCTTGGTGGGACAGAGACGGGTCCAGCAAATGCTCTGATTTTATGGGAAWTAGGACAAACTGGAAACAGTCAATGTCCCCATGCAGCCTTTGCTGTGCCTGGGGGCTATGAGCTGCTGCCTTCACAGGCTGGAGACTTGTTTGGAGCCAAGCCTGGTTAAAATGGGGATACTGGCAAGCGCATCTTGCAGTAGATGAACTAAATGGATGCATGTATGTCAGGGAGGGAGTTTGTGCTGACCAGACACAGACTGAGCTCAGAGTGGGGCGGTGGGGTGGCTCTCCCATACTCCCAACAGTCTGGTGACATGGGGTAAATCCAGAGTGAGGTGGATGCCTTGGTGYATCCCACCAGCCCTCCTGATCAAAGATTGTGTTTTGCCTTTCCCAGACATCCTTAGCAGGTGTTCAGAGGCCAGAATGTGAGTCCCTCCTCAGGCCCCTCAGCAGCACCAAGGGATAGGGTGCTTCAAAAATGCCTTTAGGATTTTTGCCAGTGCTCCATTGGAGTGTTCCAGGCTGCCCATGGATCACAAAGCTGTTGTGTTTTACTGCTGTCTTCTCCCACTGCATGGTCCCCAGCTTGGAGTCACTCCAGTCCTGATTCAGAGAGAGGGGACAGCTTGAGTTAAAGGTTTTACTGAAGCAGCCCCTCAGTCACTGCCCGTTTCCTCTCTGCATTTCCAGTGCCAACTCCYGTCACCGACATCCGCACGGATAAAGTGGAGCAGAAGAGCGTCTCCTTGTCGTGGCAGGAGCCGGGATTCCTGACAGCCAACGGCACCGAGTACGAGGTCAAGTACTTTGAGAAGGTARRCTCAGGGCTCTGCTTGTGCCCCAGMCAGCTCTGGGTCMTCCCCTTGCCAGCCAGGTCCACCCTCAGGAGCGCAGTGCCRGGTGCTGTGTGTGCCCGATACCTGTCACCCATCCCCGTGTGACACCAGCTGGGCAGGGACTGGGACACCACAATGGATTCTACATCCTTGAGGAGTCGATCTCTGCATTCCCAGCTCTGGGAGAGYGTTGGACCTTGTGGTGTGCACTGGTTTAGGACTGTGAGCCACAAGCCTGTGACTGTGATGAACCATGAGTGGCCATTCTACATGGGAGGGGACCCAGCAGTTATTTTTATGACAGTTTCCTGATTATGAAAATTGCTGTTGTTTGACAGGTGCAGTAGGTTGGGAATTTTAGGAGAAATACCAGTGGGCAGAGCAGGGACAAGGCTCTAAATCAAATAAATGCAGTTTATGACACAGTTCTGCAAATTACCTTATCTGCGTGTGCTCAGGCTCGTTATGGAGCTGATGGCATGTCAGGCACACTGTGCAGGTGACATGTCAGTGTTCTGTATTTAGAAACAAGCCACCGTGAAGCTGATTCATATTAATGTGATTTTCAGCATCTGATAGATTTGAGAGGAGGGATCTGTGGGGGAGGGCAAAYGCGGGAGCCTGAGACGGTAATTCCTGTGCAAATGGGCTGCACTAACACGATACTTGGGGTATGAAATGAGGAATTGTCCTCCTTGGGTAGGGAATTTAAGTATAGTTTAGCAGTTATTCACTGAAACGAGCCTCTTGATGCTGACATGAATATCAACTTAGTTCCTAATCCTTGCTTTTAAAGCMTTTGTTTTTACTGTGAAGATTCAAAGGGGAAAGAGTGTTGAATGGAAACACATTTGGTAATGTTGTGAGCAGTGCAGGGAGTGGCTGCTACCCGTGCCACACTGTAGGGCTGGGACAATGCCTGTGCCGGATTGTGGGGCTGGGACACTGCCCAACTGTGGGGTTGGGGCACTGCCCATGCTGGACTGTGGGGTTGGGGTTCTGCCCGTGCTGGATTGTGGGGTTGGGACACTCTCCGTGCTGGACTGTGGGGCTGGGACACTGCCCATGCTGGTCTATGGGATTGGGGCACTGACCATTCTGAACTGTGGGGTTGGAGCACTGGCCATGCTGGATTGTGGGACTGGGACACTGCCCATGCTGGACTGTGGGGTTGGGACACTGCCCGTGCTGGACTGTGGGACTGGGACACTGCCCATGCTGGGCTATGGGGTCGGGACACTGCCTGTGCTGGACTGTGGGGTTGGGACACTGCCCGTGCTGGACTGTGGGACTGGGACACTGCCTGTGCTGGACTATGGGGTTGGGACACTGCCCCTCCCGGACTGTGGGGCTGGCACACTGCCCATGCTGGGCTATGGGGTCGGGACACTGCCTGTGCTGGACTGTGGGGTTGGGACACTGCCCGTGCTGGACTGTGGGACTGGGACACTGGCCATTCTGAACTGTGGGGCTGGGATGCTCCTCAGAGCTCCCCCTGCCCTTTTCCAGCCCACCCAGCTTTGTTCCCATCCTCRAGCAGCTGAGGAGGGGAGCAGGCAGGGGCGGGCTGGTGCCACAGCTGAGCCTGGCACAGGGGGTGACACTGCTGCTCTCCACCAACCCATCCTCTGCCTGTTTTCATAGCATCATCTGGCTCCATCTGCCATTTCCTGCGACCTTCCCATGTCATTCCTGTTGATGWGACATCCAGTGAATGTATTTTTTCCTTGGGAGGCTGGCTGTTTGGACAGGCTGTCCTGATGGAGCCCGGAGTTGAGGATGTGACTGTGCCGTGCTGGCTCCGTGGCGCAGCTGTCACTGCAGCTCCATCTCAGGTATCTCATTATTTCACAGGATCAGAGAGATCAAAGTTACTCAACTGTGAAAACCACATCAACGGCCGTGACGGTCAATAACCTGAAGCCTGGTACCCTCTATATCTTTCAAATCCGAACATCTTCCTCTCCAGACTACGGCAACTACAACCCTGGCATTGAAGTGGAGACACTGGCAGAGTGTAAGTGCAGCAGGGCTGGTGTCCCTTTCAGGGCTCTGAGCTGGCCCTGGGGACTCTGTCCAGCTGCCCCTGGTTTCATGCAGCAGCTCCTGTTCCTCTGGTTCTGCTTCTCCAGGTCTAAGGGAACTGTCCAGGAACTTGCTTTTCCTCACGTTTTCCCATTAGATTTTGATGAGGTTGGTCCTGCTGCCCTGCCAGTCCTGGGGGAGCCTGTCCTGGCTCTTCTCAGTGAAGATTCAATGAGGGCAGTGATTCTCTGGCTCCTTGCTCATGAGGAGTCTCGGCCAGTCTCTGCTCTTTGGCTGAGATTGCCCTAAAACACGTTTGGCTCGTGACTGCTCCCTGCCTCCTGCTGCTGTCCTGGCTCAGGAGGCGTTTGGCTTGTCCACTGCTTGGCTGGCTCAGGGCAGCYAGCATCAGTGCTATCTGCTGAGACGACTTCTTTTAAATTCCCATTCATAACTGTGGTCCAAAAGCATCGTATTTCACTAACAGAGGGCTGGAGGGATGTTGGGCTTCWGCACAATCCCCCACGCTGGCTGGAAGTGTGAGCCTGAGCTGGCTGGCTCAGAACAGCTCCCACAGATTGTGTTTAACAGCGCTTTAAATTGCCTTCATTTGCCACACAGAAGACGTTTCAGAATGAATTGAAGCCAATAAAAATTTTATAGAGAATGTAGCTATCTAATACCCTTGTTTGCAAAAGCAGGAGGAAAAGGGATTAATGTGATGAAAGGAAACTATTTGTAAGCCATAAATTTTGATATTTTCCTCTGATAAACAGGAATCTTCCTTAGCCCTGATTAACAAAACTAGGAGCTGGTGCAGCAGTGCTGGGTTCCTCTGTCTGTGTCTGCAGCACTGCCCAGCACATTGGGCTGAGCCCATCAGTTCAGGCTCCTAAAGCTGAACCAGARCATGAATTGATGTGAGGATGGTGAAAAGCTGGGTGGCTGCTCCCACAGCCCTGCTGGAGGACACAGGCTGGCCATGGGAGCAGTGTCCGAGGCAGCTCCTGTCTCTGAAGCTGCCCTGGAGCACACTGATGACTGTCTGTGCTTCCCTCCTCAGTGACAGTGGCCTCCAGCGAGCAGAACCCTGTCCTGATCATCGCAGTGGTGGCCATCGCAGGGCTGACCGTCCTGGTGTCCATGGGGATTGGCATGATGGTCTGGAGGAGGTGAGCAGGGCCAGGCACAGTCCAGGCTTTGAGCTGGGGTAAGGGAATGCACATCTGTCCAGGTGCTGGTGTGCATCCTCGTTCTCTTTGCAGGCAGTGTGGGTACAGCAAAGCCAGCCAGGATGGGGACGAGGAGCTGTACTTTCACTGTAAGTGGCACCCAGCCATCATGGGTCATATTTATCACTGTTAATAACCCACCAAAGCAGCCCTGAGTCCTCACTGTGGAAGTGTTGTCATCCTGTGTTGTTCCAGAGCAGGGATCAGCACATCCAGGCTCTCCAAGGACTGTAGCCTTGGCAGCCCTGTGAGCCAGTGTCCATCCTGTGTGTGGATCATTGTGGAAATGGGGATGCTTGCAGCTTTCCATGGGGTGCATGAATTACCCCATCAGCTTCTCAAGAACATGGGCAAACATCCTTGTTTTCTGGGGCTACTCTGGATTATTGAAAAGCAGTGATTTTACAGACAGCAGTTGTCAGAGGGAATTCAGATGTTGGGATTGATGAGTTAATATTTRATTCCTTGCATATGCCCATGGAGTGCACACGTGCTCTTCTGTTCCCCAAAGCAACTCGGAGGCAGTAGAGCTGTCTTGACCATTTCACCTGGCTTTGGAGGGTGGGAGCTGCACTGGAGCAGAGAGGCTTCTTTCCTTTACCCAGAGGCTGTGGCAGTGGAGCAGAGCAGTTGGATTCACTTAAACCTAAAAAAAATTATTCGAAACCTTAGACCTGAGTCTTTTGCTTTGCTTATAGAAAGTTTGAGATTGATCCTGCCCACAGATGGGGAGACAGACAAACTGGGATAATGTTTCCCAGAATGGGTGGGTGGAAGCTCTGCTGAGCCCCTCTCATCCWCCCTTTCTGCCTTTCCTGCAGTTAAAATACCAACCAGGAGGACATATATCGACCCCGACACCTGTGAAGACCCCATGCAGGCTGTGCACCTCTTTGCCAAGGAGCTGGATAATGCCAGCATCAAAATTGAGAGGATTATCAGGACAGGCAGGTTCCACGGGGTGGTGGCTGTGCCATGGGYTGTGCTGGTGGCTCCCCTCTCCCCRTGACATTGCTCCAGTYTTGGGGGTGCCTGCCTGCAGCAGAGGATGGGAATGGGGCTGGWGAAGATTTTTTCCAGGAGCTTTGTTCCACATTCCTGGTGTTTTCCTGAGGCACTGAGCACAGCCAAGCGAGCGCCACATGGACCAGAAAGCATCAGCAATTATCTGCATCTGGGCACTTTGACAGCAGCGTGAAAACTATTTATAAATACGTGAACCTAATGATTTATTGATTTTCATCAACTTCACTGCCTAAAACTTAAAAGCAAATTAAAATCCCCTGACTGGACCCTAGAGCCTTAATGGCTACTGTGTGCCAGAATGTGGGTAACATGATCATTCTTTGTCATTCCTTTTCCTAAAGATAAATTCAGCTGTAGCAGCAGCAGAGGGGGAGGAAGGGAGGAGGGGAGGGCTCTGCCTGCAGCTGAAGGACAGTGTTGAAGGGGAGAGGACATTGAGGAGGGGATGAGGTTGTCCCTGAACTGCAGTGTGGAGCAGCTCAGAAGAGCCCCATGCACCTTTCATGAGCAAACTGATGTTGGAAAAATCAAGAAAGAAATTAGTAAGGAAGACTTTTAAATTTAAGGAATTTGGGAGTGTGTTTGTCTCAGTGCTGATCTAACAAGAACCTRATTTTCAAATCAATAAAGCTGTTCATAGATACACACTTTTTGCTGTAAAGCCAATATTGGCTTTTTATGTTGGGAATTCCATAGCTCCTGTTACAGAGCGTGTGGCTGTGCAGTGGGATGTTCTTCTTCAAGGATTGCAGGAATCCTCCACCCTGCTCCTCCTCTGTGGGATGCAGACCCCACGCTGCTGAACCAGGAGGCAGAACTGTCCAGGTCTGATCAGGAGCTCAGTGACAGGGGGTTAACCCTTTCCTAGGATAAAACACAATATGTACTGAAGCAGAGGGTGGAGAGAGCAGCTGAGAGGCTCTGGAGMYGGCTGATGGTTCTCAGGATCTGKGAGATCTGGGGCAGGTKCTCAGGAYKGCCTGSYRTGRATRTKTCTAACCCATTTCTCTGCCGTGCAGGAGARTTTGGGGAGATGTGCCGTGGCTGCCTGAAGCTGCCCAGCAAACGTGAGCTGCCTGTGGCCATCCAGACACTGCGGGCAGGCTGCTCTGAGAAGCAGCAGCGCTCCTTCCTGGCCGARGCCTGCACCATGGGCCAGTTTGACCACTCCAATGTCATCCGCCTGGAGGGAGTCATCACCAGAGGTACGGGGGTCCTGGGGGGCTCCTGTGCAGGAATGGGGTTAAATTGCTGCATTAGAGAGGTGACTTGGTGCTGGAGGTGCAGTTGGCTCTCTGGTTTGTTCTCACAGGTATCAGCTGGGTTTGCACTCTGAGGATTAATAAAAAGCTTCCAGCTAGTTTAATAAATGCAGGTAGAGGAACCGGCTTAGCAGCCAAACACATGCTCTCTTAATAAAAGCAAATTGAAGTGAGATTCTGTCAGTAAAACAGATGGGACTGACTGCTCCAGCTCTCTGCCATGAGCATGTGTGAGGAGCCAGGCTGTGGATGTGGTAGTTAAATGGATATTCATGTAAATCCAAAGAAACCAGAGCATGTGTGCTGATTCTAACTGAGTTTTCATTAGCAAATGAAGTATTCTGGCATTGCTGGTTGCTTTTGCTTGCACTGGGCTGTGCTGTCCTTTGTGATGTGGTTCAGAGTCCTGGTGAAAGGAACTTCTGATACTGGAATCCATTCCTAGCTGGGAATGACAGGGAAGCCTTGGACCCACTGCTCATTTCAGCCTGGCTTAGATAACCTCCTTACATCCCCCAAATGCTAATTAATGCAGGGGTTGGCACCTGGATTTGTAACCCTASAGTGTCTGAGCTGCCTGAGTGATGGTGGCACTGTCTGTCTGCAGGGAGCACCATGATGATAGTGATGGAATACATGGGGAACGGCCTGCTCGACTCCTTTCTCAGGGTGAGTGCTGACACATCTGCCCAGCCTGGGCTCTCCTGGCCATGTCCCCATTGCTGAGCTTTGGCTTTTCCTCCTGTGCTATCACAGAAACACGAGGGGCAGTTCACAGGCACCCAGCTCATCTGCATGCTGCAGGGCATTGCCTCAGGCATGGCATACCTGGCAGAGATGGGCTACGTACACAAAAGCCTTGCTGCCCACAAGGTCCTGGTGAGCAGCAGCTTGGCCTGCAAGATCACCGGGTTCAGACGGCCACAGGAAGACAAGATGGAAACCATCTTCTCCACCATGGTGAGCTGCATTTCCATTTTCTGTTGTCAACACCTTTCCTAGACTCTCATTCCCTTCTTCAAGTATGAACAGGGACTCTGCACCTTGAACTTATTTCTCAGGTAGAAATCCAGTGTSTGTGGCCAGGGAACTGCATAGCAGTGACCTGGCACCGTGCCTGCTCTGGCCACAACCCCACTGACAAATCAGGGCAGAGGGACTCGTGTWTATACAGCTGTGAGGTGGTTTTCATTAAATATGAATGTGTAAAAATGCCATCAGCTCTTCCTGGGGACATTCTCCTCTCCCATTAATATTTCAGGACTCATATTTCCATGTAACATACAGTTGCAGTGACATTTTAAACAAATTGAGGAAAAAGTTTTCTCTTGAGTACTAAATGTGCTGATGGCACATGGGTCTGTTTGGTGATGCCAGGCAGGGGACAATGAACAGTGAATTTCTGCCCAGGAACTGCCAGCACTGGCACGTCCTGCTGGGCAAACACTTCATTCCTGCCCTTCTGCCTGTCCAGCGTGGGAAGAGCCTGGTGCTGTGGTCTGCCCCCGAGGCCATCCAGTATCACCACTTCAGTCCTGCCAGCGACGTGTGGAGCTTCGGGATCGTCATGTGGGAAGTCATGTCCTACGGCGAGAGACCCTACTGGGACATGTCACACCAGGACGTGAGTCCCTGCAGCTGTATGATGATGATGATGATGATGATGATGATGATGGTTCAGCCATCACTGATGGCGTGTGCTGGCTCTGTGGCACCCAGAGGAGCTGTCTCTGCTCCTGGCTGGAGGGGAGGAGGGAGGCTGGCCCCAGGGGTTTGCCCCAGGCTTTGCCTTCCATTTACATCGCAGCCCCTCACGTCCTGCAGGTGATGAAGGCTGTGGAGGATGGGTTCCGCCTGCCCGCCCCGGTGAACTGCCAGCCCCCCCTCCACCAGCTGATGCTCAACTGCTGGCAGAAGGACCGCAGCCAGCGGCCCAAGTTCTCACAAATCCACAGTGCCCTGAGCAAGCTGGTGCAGAGCCTGGAGCCCCCAAAGTGCTCCACGTGCCCCAGGTGACCACCCTTTTGCCACACCTGTCCGTCCCTCTCTGCCATGCCRTGCCCCACTCCCTCCTCACCACCCTCTCTGTTGGCAGGTCCCATGGCACATCCATCCCCCTCTCTGAGAGAACCTTCTCAGCCTTCCCATCTTTCAGCTCCGTGGGTGAGTGGCTGGAAGCKATAGAAATGGGCAGGTACAAGGACAACTTCACTGCTGCGGGTTACTGCTACCTGGAGTCGGTGGCCAGGATGACAGCCCAGTAAGTGATCTGCTCTCCTGGTTGTAATCTTGTGTTGTGAGTGCAGTTCCTGCCCCTGCCAGAGAGCAGAACCAAATCCAGTGTGATTTCCTGATAAGCTGTTGTGCTGATGCCTTATCACTCAGGCTGATCTGAAAGAGAGGCCAGACAAACTTAAGAGAATGAGAATACACAACTTTAATACAGGCTTAACAGGCCTATTGGTACATTAGGGCAGACAGAGCCTCCTCCTGAGGCTGCACCCAAAATGGACCCTGAGTCACGAGATCTTCACCTTTTATAAGTTCTGCCTTATTAACATATTGGGTCTTAATTCTCCAATGATCTTTACAGGTGATGATGTCAATCACCCCAAACTTGCTCTCCTCCCCCAGCTCGCTGTTGTTTCCATATTTTGGGGCTCTGAGGCAGCGAGGTGTCCTTGGATTCAGGCTCAGAGAGGGATTGTTTTGTCTAAAGATGGGAGAACGGTAGTTTTTAGTGTTGTACTAGAGAAGTACAAGAATACAGATGCATGAAAATACAGAAACGAAAAATCCTAAGGAATCAGTGCCATAGCCCAGGGTGATGGGGTCAGAGCTGTCCCACTCCTGGCATGCTACAAGCTCCTGTGAGCCCAAAATTCCTGATCAGTGTCAGTATTGCTTCAGCTGGGACTAAAGATTGGGGGTTTCTTATTTGTGCATGTTTGGAACCTGCGTTATTCTTGCCTGGAAGCAGTTAGTGCTGGGGCACGTGGTGGTCAGGGCTGGTTTGTCCTGGCTGACGTTTATCCTGATGCTCGTTTTGCAGAGACATCCTCAGCCTGGGGATCACGCTGGCAGAGCACCAGAGGACCATCCTGAGCGGGATCCAGACCCTCCGTGCCCAGGTGATCCAGATGCACGGGCGGGGCGTGCAGGTGTGAAAGCAGAGCCCTGCACAGGGCAGAGCACCGGCACGGCGCTCCCGGCGAGGAGCAGCCCCATCTCTGAAAGCTGGCAGGCTCAGGTGGGCTGTGAGAATCACTGGCAAGAGAGCAGAGCTTCTGTCCCCTGTGCCCAGGCAGCCCAGGATTGCTGGGATGGTGCAGCGAGCCTGGGTGGACACAATTCTCCCCAGCAGTGTTTTGTAAGATGATTCAAACTGTRTCGATGCCATTTCATGTGGTAGTTGAGTTCACACGGTGGGATGGACCTTTTTGCACTGTTTTAATCCAGAGCCAACATTTCTGTATCTAGCATCCTGCTGGTGAATCCATGGGTACTTTTATACAACCTGACAGATCACAGCAACCCCACAAGGAGTTTATATTGCTTTTATATTTAGAGAGCGGCTCTCACCCAACGCCCAAATCCTGGAAGGTGACTTTCCTCATCTGTGCTGAAGGAAACTCTTTCCCAGTTGCATTCCTCCTGCTCTCTGAGTTCCTTCACTGAGTGTTGACACCGCAGTTGGTGAACAAAACCAAATATTCTCCAGTGAAGGGCAGAGGAAATGGTGCTGCATCCACACAATCTGGGACACACCCAGATTTTGTTTTGTGAGCACCGTGCTGCCTGCCTGGCATGCCAGCAGCTCCCACAGCTGCAGCCTCATCCCTGAAAAGACATAAATAGCTTCTCCTTAATAATACAACTTTCCTTGAAGTGAGTTAATTAAATGGGTCTTTGCAGCTCAGCACGGAGTTTTGTAAGGCTTTTATTACGATCTGTAAGTATTGCAAGTTAATTATTAATGCTGAAAGGCAAAGATTTACATAGGGGATGAAGGCTGTGGGTGATGCTCAGAGTCTGATTGGAAATCTGCTCCAGTCAGACCCTCCTGTCATCCTGCTCCAAGAGGATGAGGGTCTGACAGGATGAGGCTGAGTGAAGAGCCCCTTGGGGCTGGCAAGGTGACCACTCTGCCAGGGTGAATGCTGCWTGTGCTGTGGGGAAATTTATTGCTCTCTGGGGAAAATGAGATCTCTCCTTCCCCCTCTGCACTTCAAACCATGCTCTCTCTCCAATGTCTCTTGGTCAGTGTTATTTTTTAGCAGAAATAATTTCTCTACATTTGGCCCATGCCCAGCTGGGTTGGTCACTTGCCATTCTGCTGTTTCCCACCCTGAACAGGAATAGCAGTGAAYTGAGCTCTGCCTTTGGTGAAATGCCTGATCCCAAGGATCAAGTGCAATTAGTGTGCTCCTCATGTTTACATTTTACCTCTAGAGAAAGTATATTACAGGTCTCTAGGCAGGGGGTTGAACCAGCTTGATTCTGGGTCTTCTGTCCCCTCTCCCTGCTCATCCTGGCTGTTGGGATGTGGAGCCACACRGGGAAATTGCTGCTGGAGGAGCTGGTCTCTCCTTCAGGAAAGGAAAGAAAAGCCCTCCAAGGAAGCAGCCTTCTAGCCCAGCTTCTTAAAACAGTAAACACTTTTAATTCAGCTCCTCACCAACATGGGATAACAAAATTAAAAAATTAAACTATAGATTGTTGTTATGATATTAAAATTAACTTGCATCCTCTCAGCCCCTCGCCTTGGGGAAGTAGTATAATTAAATTAATCAGCAATGTTGTTTTGGAGCTGCTCAAGCAAGGGAAATGYCTCAAAATGATCCTGGTCTGTTCCCATCCAGCTCATGAGGCTCTTCCCTCCTCCAGTCCTGTCAGAGCAGCATCTGCAACTCTCCCCTCACAAGAAACCAAATGGGAATCAAGTTGGTTCATCTCCAGATGCTTTTATATTCATTAGGCACGTGTTAAATATTGTAAATACACACTTGAGAAGTTAATATATATTTTTATAAGCTTGAGACAAACGTAATATAATATCGTAAGGGACTCTGTGTGCATCTCATGTTTGAATTATAGTCAGACATCTCCAGGGAATCTCAGTTGGTTTGGAATATTTAATAATAATAATAATAGTTATTGTAAATGCTAATAAAAATCTRTTGACATTTTTGTTAATTTTATATTTATTGAACCACTCTTTAAGATGGCAATAAGGAGATATCTRAATACCTGAGTAAAACCAACCTGTAATCCTGCCCTGATTTGTCTGTGTGGGTAATTTCAATGTTTTGGGGGGAAATACARCTTTATCAAGGGTGGCATGTGGCAYGTAARGGRCAGTTTTARTAGCATCAAGGTGTGAAGTGATGCCTTTTTTTGTTAACAKCTATGCTGAGGTGCGAGCCTGTGCTCTGGCTGTAGAGTGGCTGGAAGTGGTGGTTTCTTGCTGCTGGCACTTTGTAGCGGGGACAAAAGCATTTCCCTCACTTTGCTGGTGTATTTTTTGTGGTCAGAAAGGTGCATGGCCTGGCCTGTGGGGCCAGGTTTTGTTCAGGAGGGTGGGAATCTCTGCCACCACCCCTGGAACCAAATAAACTCAGATGTGTTCACGGTGTGGAGCTGTCAGTGGTCAGTCTGACACCATTCTGGTGTGTAAGTGTGGGGATATTGCTGAGCAGGGGGAAAATCCTGCAGAGTTCCTGCRCTCAAGGCATGGAATTAATTGTTTTATTGAGTAAATGAAAGCTGTGTATGGCCAGCACATTAAATGCTAACTCAGCACAAAYGATATTTAAAAATGGCTTGACGCAACTCTGACTCGTTCACATCTCTTTTTTCCCAGGCTGTTCAATGCCCAGGARCAGGCACAGGAGTCCTGGTTGGTGTGGTGACAGCAGTGACAGCTGCTGGGAAAGGATTCAGTGGGTGCTTAGAATGGGTGAAGTCTATTTGCCTTCTGTCGATCAATTAATTCAGGCAGCCTTCGCTCGGAGCCTGGCCAGGGTGGATCTGGTGCTGTAAAGAAATAATCAGAGCTCTGGAGCAGGATGATGAGCAGTGGATTCCCAGTCATAGCAAAGTAGACGCAGATTTTGCACAGTTATTGGCACATGTAAGGTGTGGAGATGGGTTTGTCTCATTTGTGAGACCTTCCTGGCACTGTCCCTGCTGGAGACCATGGGACATCTCCTGTCCTGGATACACAG